AAAAATCAAAGACGTTTAGAATTAAAAATTATAATATTGTTATATTAATACATGTAAAATAAATTTATAAAATTAAAAAATAATACAGAAATCAAGATGAAACACCTCGTCCAGTGTCATGCCCCAACTCTGAGGTACTTTTGTCTCATCTCTCTTTTATTTCGTCTAAATTTTTAGGAACGGATTATCCCATCCGAAAATGATGTCGAGATGGGACACAAATGAATAGCCCTAATACTAATATTAAGTATTAAACTAAATATTAACGCGCGGAAGTCTCAAAGAAAATGGAGCCTTGAATGTGTGTCCCATAGAAAATGAAGCCTTGAATGTGTGCGTGCGGAAAGTGCCGTAACAGCCAGGAGAGGTTCGATCATATAGATGGGATTAAGGAATACTACTTTCTCCTATATATTTCCCAATTTCACATACATGGGTTTGACTAATCCCATATAACAAATAATCTCTTATATCAAGTACTTTTTAAATATATTTCTCAATCCAAATCATAATCTCTATGTCTAATTTTTAGTGCTTCCTACCGAATGAAACCAAAGTGGCAGACGAAAGAGGGAGTGCTTTTCTGATGATCTTAATTATGGCCGACGTCCTTTTGTTTTTTATTTGCACCCTAATAAATGTGAGCACATCTCCGATGGAAAGCCCAACAACTTTACAATAGGCCCAAATAAACCTTAAAGAATAGACACCCGGTGCTTGTCGCCGCAATCCCTGAGTGCAAAACGATGTCGTTTGATTACTGAACGAATCCTGATGGCTCATTTACAGTTTCACACATTCAATATTATTATTCATGATTTTTATTGCCAGCATCGTCTTCCTCCCTTCGCAAAATTGGCGCAGATCAGCATGTTTCTGGACATCTCCTAAAAACCATTCCTAATAGTCGTATTTAGGACTTACACTAACTAGTTTAAGAATTTATACCCGCTTGCATTAATACAAGTCGTAATAATTATTGCAAAATCATATGCCAATTACATCTTAAAATGTGAATTGGTTTTCTAACCACTTCAAATTTAATTTTAAGTGACTGTGCGCTTTTGTCTCCTACTCGGCATGACGTGCAAAAGAAAATTATAAAATATAATAACTGAAAATTGAAAAATCATCAACAACTGTGACCCATGCGTGAAAATGCATAAAAAAAAAAATTATGCTCAAGGGAACCAATTTTGCAAATATTTCTCTTCTTAGTTACTAGCCCGAATAACCAAAATTATAACGAAGTAGGAAAATATATATATATATATATATATATATATAACTATGCCAAAATCATATGTACTATATTGTCTTTAATTATTTCACATAATATCACTTAGTTTTGGCTTTTTTTCTCATTGATTACACTAAGTGATTTTGTTACGGGTTGCAAGAGGATGACGATGAGATGAATGTAGAACCTGCCATTGCTGCAAATTGTGAGATTAATGCATAAGCTTAAGCTGATTATTTTCTAGGAGGATTATATAGTTGCGATGATTATATAGATGCTGATGCAGTATGATTATTGCGAACGTGATATATTCCGATTGCTTGCGTTGTAAAAGCATTGCAATTCATATCATTAAAAAAATTTTGAAAATTTTTTAGGTTTCTATTTATCTTTTTTAAAAAGAAAAAATAGGGTGTTGTTTTTATTTTCCTGATTTAAAGTGATTAATCATCTATAATCTTAAAAAACCCCGAGTTTACACTTATTTTTTACGTCGGTCAAATTACAAGCGGTTTACAAAGTTAATTTTTGTACATTTGGTTACAAAAAAAAAAAAAACTGATGTAAAATGTAGGGTTTATAAAATAAAAGGTACTCCTTCAGCCTTTAATATAGAACCTAATTGCAGAGTTGATGTTGGTCTATATGTAAAACTTATTTTACATACTTATCAATTTTTTCTCAAATTAATCTTATTGATATGCTCTCAACAATGATTAAGTAAAAGAAGAAGGGAGAGAATTGAGAAAGATACTTAGAGTATTTTTGAAGAAAAAATATATTATATTAATTAATTTAACTAGCATCCTTAATTTACTAAAATTAGTTAATTAAGTTTTATATTAAGAACCGGAGTACATCAGTTATATAAACGTACAATGTAGAGAGTGCTCCCTTGGGGCCGCATACCGACCAGCAACATGTTGAAGTTGATATCAAGATACCTTACTGCAGTTATAATTGAAAACCACTCAACTAAGCCAAATTATTGTGTGAAAGATCCAAATAATCCAATTGACCATTTGCTCCGTTGCTCAGCCTTTAAAAAGCATATTTCTAGTAGTCCATTAAACTCAACATCATTAATAACTTTATTAATGGAAAATACTGACTTAACATTTTAAAATGATAACTCAGCAATGTCCAGTTGAAAAAGATGCATTATTTAAGTTGTTTCACTATGATATCCTTCAATTATTTTAACCGCAGATGGATTAATTAAATGTAAAGTTGAGGAAAAAAGATTTATAATAAACTGTGTTGCCATAAATCTAAACCCTTTAATGGATTTTAATGTAAATGTAATCTTTTTTAATTGAATCTTCCGAATTATTTTAACTTTTCGTATATGGCATGCTAATTCAAATGAAATAATGAATAATCAACAACTAATTAACGTCGTATGTGCTAACATGGAAAAGCAATGTTTCTGGAGTCTCAAACATATACTTCATTCAACTTCAAAACACACAAAACAAAGCGGTGATAACCAATCACCTAAAATTATATAAACAGAACAACAAGCTATTACATTTAAAACAAACAAAGAAAAGAAGAAAGTTAAAGACTACGAACTTATAACATATTACAAACCCACATTCTGAGGTAATTCATTCTTCAATTTGCATGAGCTCTATTTCTCATTGTTTTGGCCTATATTTCTTGGATTGACCTCCAAAATTCCTTACAAGCCATTGAAGTTTCCCAATTGAGAACACAGCATACCCCATGAGGATCCCAAATACCATTCCGCATCCATATCCCCAGGCTACTGGTTTCCAACCAAATCCAAATTTCTCATTAGCATCAAAGATTGGTGTTGGCAATTCTCCTTCAACCTTCTTGCAGGATTTTGACAATGAAACACCGCATAATCCTGAATTCCCCTCATATGAATCTCTTTGGAATGTATCAAATTGTTCACCTCTTGGTATCATCCCCTCAAGCTGATTTTGTGAAAGGTTCAAAATAGCAAGAAAGTTGAGATTCCTCAATGTTTGAGGAATCTCGCCCTTGAGCTTGTTGCAAGACAGATCTAACCATTCTAGACTTGTCAATTTTTCAATTGATTTTGGAATAGAACCAGATATTCTATTATGGGAAAGATTAAGCCCTATCAGTGCATGCAGTTCTCCAATGGCTTTTGGAATCTCCCCATCAAATCTATTATTTGACAAGTCAATAGTACTGAATATTGTCAAAATCCTTTCTAGCTCCATGATATTGCCTTTCCATGTGATCATCACTGAATCCTTATATGTTGAATAATTTTTGCTTCCCATATATTGGGAACCTCCTTCAACATAATCTGTTTTCATCATTCCTTTAAACTGCTTGATGTAAGTTGCTGGCAAAGATCCATTAAAATGGTTGCTGGAAATGTCAAAAATCCTTAACTTGGGAAATGGATGCCTAGTATTGGAACTAGAAATGGCCCCATAAAACTCATTCTCTCTTAAAACTAGCACTTGTAACTCTTGGAAATCATCAAGCCAAATAGGGAAGGTATCTCTGATCTCATGTCCAACATCAAAAATTTCTAGCTCAGTACAATGAGCCAAAGACAAAGGTAGTGATCCCTTAAGTCGATTGCTATTGAAATGCAAGGTTTGCAAGACATTACTCTTGGAAAATTTGTTTGGTAAAGTTCCAGAAAAACCATTCATCTGTAGATCTAGAATTGAGAGATTAGGAAGGCCAACGAGGCATTGTGGAATAGGTCCTGACAAGATATTGTGAGACAAGTTGAGTATCTCAAGTGAGCTTGCATTGCAAAAGAGAAAGACACTACAACAAAATGTGTTATTTACCTCCCTCATTTATGTCTGTTTTCCAAAACAGAAGAGACTTCATGTCTGTTTTAAACAAAACAGACGTGAATTCACATCCGTTGACCCAAAACAAACGTGAATTCACGTCTGTTTCTATATAACAGACGTTAATTCACGTCTGTTTCCAAGAAACAGACGTGAAGGGGCTTCATTTTTAAAAAAAATTTGCCCACAGCAGCTCGCATCAGTTATCTATCAGATCTGCATGTACCGTGCGTGAAGAACCTCCGCCAGCTCGCAGCTATCTCGCGCCGAACTTTCATTTTCGGTCTCTCCCTCTCATTTTCCTCTTGTCCGTGAAGTAGCCATGAGCTATTTCAACTTGTTTCGGTCTCTCCTTCTGGTTTTAGCTCTTCAAGGCCGTAGCCCTCCCTCCATTGCGTCGCGCGTTCTGCAGTAGCCGTGTTGCAGTAGCTCATAGTTGAAGCCGGCGTGAAGATCTGCGTGTACCGCGAAGAACCTCCAGCTCGCAGCTATCTCGCCGTTGAAGCTGTGAAGCTCACACGCACTGTAGGCCGTTGATTTGAAGGCACGCTCGAACAGTGAAGGTAAGTTTATTCAACCGTTGCATTGTGGGTTTAGTGTGTTGTACGTGGGTTTGAGTAGCTTGAGGAGTTTTGAATTGGTTTCTGAGGTTGCTGTTTAAATTTTTACTGAAGAATTGTGTTTAGATAGTTTTAAATTTGTATATATTGATTGGGTAGAAATTTTAATGATTTCAAGCCTTGTTAATCTTGTTAGAAAAATAATGCATACAAGGTGTTTGTCAAAATGCCTAAGAGGGATTGCATTAGATAGTTTGCTATATGTATTGAATTTAGATTAAGGATTGGGTATACATTAAATGATTAATGAAAAAATTGCATTTAGATAAGTTAAAATTTGTTTACATTGATTGGGCAATAGATTTGAAGGTTGAAATCATTTGCCAACAGAGTGCGGATATTACATTATCCGTTATATGTTTGAGATTATTGAGAGCGGATGTATTACAAAATTTGATGAGGTAAGTAAATATAATTTTAGTTTTGTAATAGTTGAATTTTTAAATTGAATTGTTACTTATTTTATTTTCTTCCTATGTTTAAATTTGTTCATTTGTCAATTTATAGATTTTTGATAATGATTGTTCATATACTATTGATGACATTAACTTCATCCGAGACCTTTTGGCACAGCAACTGCTTCAAGAATTGTGGTCCAGGGATTGAGCAAGTTTATGTTTAGAGACAATAGGATCAATATTGACTTTTGTAATTTGTTCTTCTTTTTTGACTAGTTAGTTAATTAATGTGTCTATATAGATGAAGTTATGATGTTGATATGTCTTGGCTGAAAATATTGACTGGTTCATACTATTTCAACTTGCTAGAAAGTGGCTGTTGTGGCTGTAGGAGAAGTAGTATATACGAACTGAATCTTTTTTTTAAAAAAAAAACAGAGGACATTCACGTCTATTCAGCGAAATTTCTCGAAAACAGACGAGAATTCACGTCTGTTTCTTTTAAAACAGACGTGAATTCACGTCTGTTTTGGAGAAACAGAAGTGAATTCTCGTCTGTTTTTGAGAAACAGACGTGAATTCTCGTCCGTTCCAAACAGAAGTAAAAAGGGGGTACTTTTTATGTCCCTTCTTTTCATGTCCCCTGCAAAACAAACGTAAAAAGTCATGCAAAACAGAAGTAAAAAGTCTTCATTGTAATAGTGAGAAGATATTCCTACTGAATTTATTGTTTGAGACTAAAAAATAATTTGCTCCAAAGAATGGATTCGGGAGGATTCCATGTAACAAGTTGAATCTAAGATCAAGAAATGTGACACTTGTATTTAAAAGGGATGAAGGGACTTGACCACTGAAATTATTATTGTTTAGTGCCAAATAATAGAAGTCACTGAGGTTTCTAAACACATCCGGTATTTCACCACTAAAATTATTCATTGAAAGATCTAAGCTTTGGAGATGTTCAAAGTTTGAAAGTGATGATGGGATTTGACCACTAAAACTATTATTGGAAAGAGATAAGTAAGTGAGATTTACAAGTGTTGAAAGAAATGAGACCCCACCACTAAATTTGTTGGAGGAAAGGTCTAACTTGGTAAGTGGAGTGAGATTCTTGAAACTCGGAGGAATAGGCCCTTCAAATTGACCATCTCTTAGATATAACATTTCAAGAGACTTCAAATGGCCTATGGAACTGGTACTTCTTTGAAGAAAGGTATGGAATCTAGAATCAAAGCCACTAAAGGAGAGCTCTAGTTGAGCTTTGGAAGTTGAACCTGAATATTTGTATTCAATCCCAAATTTAGAAATTTAAGATTTTCTAAATACAAAACGATATCTGGTATATTGCCTTGCAAAGAAGTTTCTGCAAGTGAAAGAGAGATCAAAGAGGATGACAAATTTCTGAGTAAAGACAAGGAGTTTGGTGTAACAGAGGACATGTTCACATAACGTAAATCAAGCACTCTTAAATTAGTTGTGTTTAGAATTAGCTTTTCCCAAGTAGATGGTTCAAGTCTTAGTGATGAACTCTCCTTCATGTAAGAATTGAAAGACAAGTCAAGTGAGACCAATTTAGACAATTGTGAGATTTCAGAGTGGATTTCACGAAAAAAATTATTGCCAGAAATGTCTAAGGATGTGAGATGTTCTAGGTTTGAAAGGAATAAGATCTCACCACTAAACTTGTTTAAACCAAGGTTTAAATGAGTCAGTTGAGTGAGATTGCTTAAACCAAGAGGAATCCACCCTTCAAAATTACAGGAGTGTAGGTCCAAATGATTAAGATATTTCAAGTGGCCAATAGAATCAGGCACTTCTCCTAAGAAAGTTGTGTTACTGAGATCTAAAAATGATAAAGGAGAGCTCCAATTGGACTTTGAAAGTTGACCGTTGAGATTTTCATTACCTGACAAATCTAGTTGTTGAAGGCTTTCTAAGCAAAGAATGTCACTTGTAATATTTCCCTACAACTCAATATAAGAAAGTCTAAGAGAGACCAATGAGGATGACAAATTCATGAGCAAAGACAAGGAGCTTAGGGCAATGGAAGACATACTTACATCATTTAAAACAAGTTCTCGTAGATCAGTTATGTTTAGAATGAGCTTCTCCCATGTGGAGTCATATAGGAAAAATCCATTCAGAGACAAATCAAGAGAGACCAATTTAGATAATTCTGCAATTTTAGGAGGAATTTTACCAACAAAAACAGAATTGCTTAAGTTTAGATGCATGAGAATGGAAAGATGACCAAATTGAGATGATATGAAAGACCACCTAAAATTGTTGTGAGCCAAGTTGAGTGTTTGGAGGTGAGAAAGTTGGAAGAGGCTATTGTTTGGATGGAGTTGACCTTGGAGCCAACTACAACTACGGTCAAGGCCAATCACATGACCAGACATAGTGTCACAAGTGATCCCATATCCCACAAGCAACAGTTTGAATCATTTCCCCACGAAGTTGTCTTTGGGTAAGATGAGTTCTTAAACTGTATAGTATAGGCGTAGTCGTAAAACTCATCATCATCATCATCATAAAACTCATCACACTCTGCTGAAGCAGAATGATCAAGAGAGAAAGAGTTTTTGAAATGAAGAAGTGCAAAGGAGTCATGAGAATTACATAATGGTAGGTTGAGAGAAGAAGAAACGGAAGGAGAAAGAAGGAACATGTAGAAAGAGATGACGATTGGAAATGCCATGAGTGAAGTTAGAAGGCTAGGAACAAGCGAAAGATTGATATGGATTTTAACAGAAGAGGCTATATTTATAGTGGTACCTACACTACAAATGGGTGATGCACATGCAAACTCAAGATTTTTATTACCAATTGAACCCCAAAACCAAAAATATAAATTAGTAATTGTTCTTCAAAAAAGGAGAAGCAAAAGTTTTGGTCTGCAGGGTCCACTTTTAGTTGATGCTCGAAACAAGAAGAAGAACATGGAACTTTGCTAATGCTTTCTTATTTGACTTGGTCCATAAAAGAAAATATAATCACGGAAAAAAATATAACGAACGAAATTCGGTGGTTGTTTCTTACTAGACTTCGCTATTGATAGTTCTACAATATGGGCAAATATTGTAAACAAATTTGAAAAGCTGGTCGTATTTCTTTTTGTGTAATTGATATCTAAGAAGACTTGTCCTTATAATATGATGGGCATAAAAATATACCATGGAAATATCATCATCTCAGTCCATTCAAAGTAAACGTATACAGATAGACTTTTTTTTTTTTAACTACGATAAGATGATATATTAAAATAAAAGGTTTAAATATTACAAACAGTGGTATAATCTATGTTAACAATATTAAAAAAAATTATTTTTAGAAATTACATCATATAGTAAGATGAGAAATTATAATTTATAAATAAGAGAACTTAATTCATCATTATCATCAAAATAATTAAAAAGAGGTATAATATACAATTAAAGGTTAAAATAGATACATGTTAATTGTTCGTTGATGATCATAATTTATACCGACAAGAATTAGTCAAGAATTGACAAATATAGTAATAGAAAAATCATAATATAATTATAAATTTGATTACAACAAATTGAATATAATATAATAATTTTCTTCTCCACAATTAATTAAACAGAATCCACTGTTGCACGACTTATAAGGACCGACATTATCTTTTCCCACTCCTCTCGTAATTTTTGTTGAATTGAAAATTTTGAAAAATAGTAAGACATTTACATAGATATTTTCTTTTCCATTTTTAGAATATATACAAGCTTTTTGTAAACCAAAAAATTTAATATATTCTTATATTCAAATCATGTGATATAGTCACATTCATTAGAGGTGGTAAAATGGGCGGACCCATCGGTTATAGGCCGACCCGCCATGGACTCAAGACCATACGGGCCGATCTTAAAAGGACAGCCTCCTGGCAGGCTCCCAGTTGGCCAACCTACCCCGCCAACTCTTCAACCTCCATCCTTTTTTTGTAAAATTTTTTTACATATATATTTAAATTTTTAAATTAAATTATAAATTTTTATACACCAAATTCTTTTTATTCTTATATTTTCATATAATTATATAATTAAATTAATCTCAAAAGTTAAAATATAAACATATAATTTATTGTTAATAGTTATTTTGTTACTATAAAAATAGTAAAACAATAAAGAAAATGAGAAATCAAATTTAGAATCAAAGTCTCTAATAAATTACAACATTACATGTAGATTAAGTGAAAATGATAAAACTTTTTCTTATTAAAATTAAAATAAAAATTGTAAAAAAAAATCGGCAAGCTAGCTTATGGTGGGTTGCTGGTTGAAAAAGACCTCATCAAAACGTTCCTATTTTCTTCCACCTAACCCATCATCTTATAATAAGTTGGCAGGCTCAACCCATTACTGGCGCTAACCTTCATCATCGATATATTTATTTTTCTATTACAAATATGCAATGGAAATACCTGTCGCATATTTATATATGAAGCTTATTCTACGCTGTTTATAAAATTGACTAAAGTCAACTTCAAAATATGCAATGGTATTTTTTTACTCCTTTTGTTATTTTTTGTCTAATTAAAAAAAATCAAAAGAGACAAATTATACAAAAACTTTTCCGGTTATATTGGTACTAACTAAGCTATCTGCGTGCGATTATTCAGTTTATTTATATTTATAGCATTATTTCCATATGCAAACTCTTGTATGGAACAGTCATCGCAATTAAAATTAGTTCCTATTTTAACATGATTTCATCTCCTCAAAGTTTTCCTTTGAAAAAGTGATTAGAAAACAAGCCAATGAATGAGAAACTAGTATCATGCACCCGATACACATAACGAATAGTCTGATATATTCATAAAAGAATAATTAGAAAAAGCAATAAAATCGATAGGAGATTAACATGAATTTATGGGTTTTGGGTTTTAACTACTACTTACAGAAGATAAAAGAATGCCAACCAAAAAAAATTTGAATAACTAAAACACACACACACACAATATTTTAGAAGCAATGCTTACAATATTTTTGCCCTCCATTTTATTATTATTTTTGGTGAAAACTATTTTATTATTTTTTTGACTAAAAAATTTGTAAAAGTCAGGGGACCATCAAAAGAGGAACGTCGCGCCAATAGGCCAATTGATCCCACAACGTTTTTTTTTTTTTTTCCTTTTGATCAGTAGATCCTTAAATTGAAATCGGCAACTTAGAATATTTTTCAGAAAAAATTCAACAATTTAAGGTTTAAAAATCAAAAAGTTTATCTTATATATATAATCTAAATCTTTATCGCCATTATATACTTTCTTGCATATGTCTTAGATTAAGTGCAAATTTTCCGGATATTTTTGGGGCAGAATTCCAAACTCTAATGTTA